GGAAATTTTGGAGGAAGGACGCTTTTTCTGTAGTAATATTTGCTTCTGGTTGTGTATATTGCGACCGCTGGTAACTACAGGTTATATGAAATTCACAGTATACGTCTGGTATTTCAAGAAAAAAGAAACTAATGAAAGTCACTCCACTCCACTAAGTACCATTATAATACCGGTTAGTTGCTACTACAACACTGTATTCTGCTATTCACTGGTATCACTAGATTATATGCGAGTACACTAGCAGGCCAGAAAGATTATTAAAAACAGCTGACCACTGTGGTAAGTTTCTGGCGACTTCTGGCACCAGCCTCTATAGGCTTATCACTTCATTTACAAATTCACCTGTTTTCAAATGACACTTTAGCCTTTATCAACAATATACTAGGGAGCCACTGTAGTATACACTATACACTATGTATACTCAATGTTATCAGGGAGACTTTCTTTCCTCTGACACGAAAAGTTCAATTATTATTATTTTTTTCACACGGGACACAGGCCTATGATTCCCCTCTGGCAGTAAACTCTGCTAGGTAGTGCACACTAATTCTCCTTTTTTGACTCAGTATATAATGTTTTCCACCCAAGATTGGTTCCAGGCACTAGAGGGATGTATCGTATAGGATTGATGACACAAATTAAAGTTCTAGCACGTAAGAGCGACCGTGAAAACACCAGAAAACCCGGAGCACAACGAGGCACGCTGACACTCTGTCACGCAATAATAGGGTGTAAGAGGGTGTAAGGTAAGAGTTCAGGTGTGCTAGGTATGGTAGCCCTCCTGACCACCCCACCCACATGTAATATACTGCGACATTTAACCCTTTCAGGGTTTCGGCCGTACTAGTACGGCTTATGCTCCAGGGTCCATGATGTACTAGTACTCAAATTCTAGCACCTTCAAAACTAGTGAGAGAAAGCTGGTAGGCCTACATATGATAGAATGGGTCTATGTGGTAAGTGTGCGCAGTATAAAAAAATCCTGCAGCACACAGTGCGTAATGAGAAAAAAAAACTTTGACCGTGTTTTTGGAACAGCGACTTTGCACTGTATTTTCATATGGTATTTATTGTTGTATTCTAGTTTTCCTGGTCTCATTGTATAGAATGGAAGACATATTACAGAAAGAGAGATGATTTTGACTGGTTTTACAATGAAAAGTACCTTGAAATTAATCTCAAAGTTGCAGAAATGTTCGATTTTTACCAAAGTTCAAAAGTAAACAAATCATGCCATGCGTCCAATACATGTCAACTGGTGAGTCTAATATTCTTTCATAAGTGCGCCGATATTATTTATACCATTTCTACACTAATGCAGTAGTCTGCATTTTTTGTGAGAATAAAAATTCAAAATGGAAAGCAAAAGAAAGTAAGAGGGGCCTGGGGACGTGACTAATGAACAGAGGAAATGTTATTTTAGTGCCAGGAATGTCTTTCTTGTTTATTCTGGACCCTATTTAGAAATCGGCATCTTTTGAAATTTGTGTGAAATTGGCAAAATTGCTAAATTCTGACCACTGTATTGGATAGTTGAAATCGGTAAATTGGTGGTTTCTTGTAATCATTCGATAGAAAAAATGGAGTTCTAGCGAAATAGGTATGATTTTTGTCGACTATCCCAAAATCTCTCTCTCTCCTCTACACTTCTCTCTTCTCCAGGTGCATATACACTTACTATAACCCACTTTTCACATCCAACCTTTATTTTACTCCACATAATCCTTGAATTAATACATTTATAGTCCCTCTTTTCCTGCCATATCTTATCCTTCAACATTAACTACAATAAATTGTAATTATCAGAACATAAAAATCATATAAAATAATTTAAAAATGAGAAAAAAAAGGTATACAGTGGACCCCCGCATAGCGAACTTAATCCGTGCAAGAGGGCTGGTCGTTATGCGAAATGTTCGCTATGCGAATTAATTTTCCCCATAAGAAATAATGGAAATAAAATTAATCCGTGCAAGACACCCAAAAGTATGAAAAAAAAATTTTTTTACCACAAAAAAATGTTAATTTTAGTACACACAAACTGAAAAAGGCATGCACAATTACATGACACTTACTTTTATTGAAGATCTGGTGATGATTGATGGGATGGGAGGATGGGAGAGAGAGTGTTAGTGTTTAGAAGGGGAATCCCCTTCCATTAGGACTTGAGGTAGCAAGTCCTTTTCCGGGGTTACTTCCCTTCTTCTTTTAATGCCACTAGGACCAGCTTCAGAGTCACTGGACCTCTGTCGCACAACAAATCTGTCCATAGAGCTCTGTACCTCCCGTTCCTTTACGATTTGTCTAAAATGGGCCATAACATTGTCATTGAAATAGTCACCAGCACGGCTTGCAACAGCTGTGTCAGGGTGATTTTCATCCATAAAGGTTCGCAGTTCAACCCACTGTGCACACATTTCCTTAATTTTTGAAGTAGGCACAATGGATTCCACAACTGGCATAGGCTTCTCAGGGTTAGCCCCAAACCCTTCAAAATCTTTCTTAATTTCCATACTAATTCTCACCCTTTTTACCACAGGGTTGGCACTAGAAGCTTTCTTGGGGCCCATGGTCACTTATTTTCCAGAAACAGCACCGAAAACACTGTAATAATACGAAATATTCCGAGTGTATGCTTGAATGTTACCGCGGAGGCTGGCTGGTAAACAATGGACGCGTCTCGGACGAAGGTCGCTGAGCGGGTTTTTGTCCACTATGCGGGGCAAAATTTTGGCAAACAAAGCGTTCGCTATGCGGATTGTTCGCTATGCAAGGCGTTCGCTATGCGGGGGTCCACTGTATTGGCAACACTTCTGCAAGTGGCAGGACTCAATGTTGCCATCAGGTGAGCATTAATTGCCAACTTTGGAGCCTCATATCTCGGTAAGTACTGACCCTAATTTTTTCATTTTCACCCTACCCTATAACACTTAGAAATATGTTCTCTTTATTTCTATAAAAGTACGATTCAATCAATCAATCAATCAAGTTTATTCTCTATAAGGATTACAATGCGGGGTTTGCAGATTTTAGTTACTGTGTGGTTTACATGTAATAAAATACTAATTACAGAGGGGGCCACTAGGACACCTAGCATCGCTAGGCATTTCGGGCAAACTTAGATTAATTCTTAACTCTAAATTATTACAAATTATGGAGTAAGTTGGCATTATGGCTAAGTGACTAAATACTAGTTTGTGAGTTTAGCAATGTGAATGTTTTTGTTTTGGCACAATACATAGTTTCTATATTGGGGTATCACAGGCAAACTTATGACTAGTTAGGATTCATTATTTTAAGATTAAGATTCATATTTCTGTGTTTATAGTCAAATCGGTGAGTGAGTGTAAGTGTGAACCACCACGTAGTATTCATGTAGTTAGTTGACGGGGTGTATCAGGGAGATAAGATGTTTTCTAACGGTAGTTTTGAAGGTGATGAATGTGTCTGCAGTTCTAGAGTTTTCAGGTAGGGTGTTCTAGATTTTAGGGCCTTTGATATACATTGAATTTTTGTAAAGGTTTAGTCGGATATGGGGAATGTTATAGAGATGTTTGTGTCTGGTGTTATGCCTGTGGGTCCTGTCACAACTATCAAGAAAGGGTTTTAGGTCAAGGTTAATATTGGAATTTAAGGTCCTACAGATGTAGATTGCACAGTAGTAAGTGTGGATGTTCTGAACAGGGAGTAAGTTTAGATCTATGAAGAGTGGGTGGTGTGTTGCCAGGGATGGGATTTAGTGATTATTCTTACTGCGGCTTTTTGTTGGGTTATTATTGGCTTTAGGTGTGTTGCTGCAGTTGATCCCCAAGCACAAATAGCATAGGTGAGGTATGGATAAATGAGTGAATGGTATAGTGTGAGAAGATTCCAACTGTTTTGGATACTTTTTTTGTTATGTGTTGGATATGGGTGCTGAAATTCAGGTTGTTGTCGAGGTATAGGCCTAGGAATTTACCCTCATTATGTCTGGCAATTAGAGTGTTGTCTATCTTAATGTTAAGTTGCGCAACACCTGCTCTGCTACCAAACATAATATAGTAGGTTTTGTCAGTGTTAAGTTTAAGTTTATTGACTGTCATCCAAGTCGATATTTTGATCAGCTCCTCGTTAACAATGGTGTTGTGGGTAGCAGGATTAGGGTGAGAGATGACACGAGTCGTGTCGTCAGCAAAGAGAATGGGTTTCAGGTGTTGGGATACGTTTGGAAGACCATTGATGTAAATGAGGAAGAGCAGGGGACCAAGGACACTTCCCTGCAGAACTCCAGTATCAAGTGGCTGTGTTGATGATACTGTGTCTTTAATGGTGACATACTGATACCTATTAGTAAGGTAGGATTTGAAATATGCAAGCGCATGGGGCACTGGGCAAGAGAATGTACATATATGTTTGGACCGTTTATGGGTTCAGCAATGTTATGTAGAAGTAACACATGCAGTGTCCTCTCTTCCTGGATGCTTTAAGCAATGCCAAGTAAAAGTAATATTTTAGTACAGTACTGTACAGGTATTTAGGTTCCTAGACAGTGAAAGTGAAGTTTTTGACATTTCTTTTATAATGCCCTGGCCACCTACACGAAAATAAAGTGACCCAAAAACAGGAAACACATTTATCATCATTCATTCAATAGTTGTCTTGCCAGAAGTGAGCACGCATAATTTAAATGACTCCAAACTGCAGCATCCCAACTCCTCCTTCAGAGTACAGGGAGTGTACTTCTTACCTTCAAGACTCCAGTCCAGGTAAACAGTTTCCCTGAATCCCCTCTTAGAGGAATTCAGGGAAGTTGAACTTAATATATGTTAAGAAATTATTGGAGCTGTAATACTCATGGTTTTCTTGAAAACTAATGAATATAGGACAGTGAATATTTTACTTCTTTGGGTTACTTTGACTTTGTGAGAAGTAACCAAACTGTTTAAAAAAAAATAGCTTCCATCTTCAATCAAATATAAATATGAATAAAATATATTAAAAACTGAAAAAATCCTACTTACTCTTCACTTCAACGAAAACTGTAGCATTGTCTCTAGCCTTCTTATCACTAGTTATCCCCTCTAACGTATAAAATCCAAAGTCATCAGCAGTCACATTGCTGATTTTCAACCATGATTCAGCAGAGCTTGCATGATGCTCAGTAGTAATCTGTGAACAAGAAGAGATTTTAATTGGATTATTGACCCAGGAATGTTAATGTAAGATGTCTCAAGAAAGAAAAGCAATATGGCATATTTCCATTGGGGCCTTCAGGCCCCTCCCCAAGATGCCATTCCTACCAAATGATTAACATCCATGTGTCTATTAAATGTTAGTTAAACAAGGGCAGCAATTACAAGATCATCTGCTCAAACCAGTACTTCTCACCTTGCCCACAATTCAAACCCCAGTTGTTTCTATTGCGAGTCAAATGCTCTTCCACTGAGACAGTATTTACCGATAATTTTGACAAAAACAAAATTTAATATCTGTGGCAAATTGATTACTATGCAAGTTGTACCATAGTGTTCACACCTATGCCTGTATTTTTTATAAATAAATATTAACTGAACTGAAGTGATCAAAGAAAACTTTACCGGTGGCCAGTGTCTAGGTTATTCTCTCGACAACTAACTCCTGAAAAAGATTTTAAATTCTCTATAATAAGTGAGTAGTTGAAGTAGTAGAAATAAGACAGTGAAGAGGACAACACAGAAGCAAAGAAAGTTTGTCCTTCAAGTATAACTTGAGGCCGTCACAAGATGCTATCAAAAGAACTAGTGACTCGTCTATCAGCTGCCATGCATAATGATAGTACACAAGGCTCTCTCCCAAGGTCAAGCCATGCATAATGATAGTACACAAGGCTCTCTCCCACAGTCAAGCCATGCATAATGATAGTACACAAAGCTCTCTCCCACAGTCAAGTCATGCATAATGACAGTACACAAGGTTCTCTCCCACAGTCAAGCCATGCATAATGATAGTACACAAGGCTCTCTCCCACGGTCTAGCCATGCATAATGATAGTATACAAAGTTCTCTCCCACAGTCAAGCCATACATAATGATAGTACACAAAGCTCTCTCCCACAGTCAAGTCATGCATAATGAGAGTACACAAAGCTCTCTCCCACAGTCAAGTCATGCATAATAACAGTACACAAAGCTCTCTCCCACAGTCAAGTCATGCATAATGATAGTATACAAAGCTCTCTCCCACAGTCAAGCCATGCATAGTGATAGTACACAAAGCTCTCTCCCACAGTCAAGCCATGCATAACGATGAGAAATTTCAATTACTCCGATATGGTAAACATGAGGAAATTAAAACTTCATCAGAGTACAAAACAAATTCCACCCACAAAATAGAGTGAAAAACGAACGTCAAAGACCTGGGAGTGATCATGTCGGAGGATCTCACCTTCAAGGACCATAACATTGTATCAATTGCATCTGCTAGAAAAATGACAGGATGGATAATGAGAACCTTCAAAACTAGGGATGCCAAGCCCATGATGACACTCTTCAGGTCACTCATTCTATCTAGGCTGGAATATTGCTGCACACTAACAGCACCTTTCAAAGAAGGTGAAATTTCTGACCTAGAAAATGTACAGAGAACCTTCACGGCGCGCATAACGGAGATAAAACACCTCAATTACTGGGAGCGCTTGAGGTTCCTGAGGTCTCTTCTCAAAGATCACTTACTCACTCAAAACCAAATAAATACTGAATAACTGAACCTTATAAATTGTATATCCTATATGTTACTCACAATTATATCACACAAATGTTAAACCTAGGACCCAATCTAACTTTATTATTTTTTTAAATACACTACCTAACAGAATACTCCATTCGACTGAATGTACAGCAATGAAAGCAACCATATGACCTGTCTTTGTAATACTCATTTGTGCTTTATAGTTATCTGTTTACAATAATGTTTTATCACTGATTTCATCATTGCTTAGTTAATCTTAAGTTAATTTTAAGCCAGCCTGTAATGCTATGCATATAAGTGGCTTTGGCATGCTGCTCTTACCAGTATTTTTTGTACCTCTGTTTGTATGCTTAAATTACTAAATAAATAAATAAATAAATAAATAAACCTGTACTCCCTGGAATGCAGGCGGGAGAGATACATGATTATATACACCTGGAAAATCCTAGAGGGACTGGTACCAAACTTGCACACGAAAATCATTCACAACAACAGCAAAAGACTTGGCAGACGATGCTACATCCCCCCAATGAAAAGCAGGGGTATCACTAGCACGTTAAGAGACCATACAATAAGTGTCAGGGGCCCGAGACTGTTCAACTGCCTCCCAGCATACATAAGGGGGATTACCAATACACCCCTGGCTGTCTTCAAGCAGGCACTGGACAAGCACCTAAAGTCGGTACCTAACCAGCCAGGCTGTGGCTCGTATGTTGGATTGCATGCAGCCAGCAGTAACAGCCTGGTTGATCAGGCTCTGATCCACCAGGAGGCCTGGTCACAGACCGGGCTGCGGGGGCGTTGACCCCCGGAACTCTCTCCAGGTAAACTCCAGTATACAAAGCTCTCTCCCACAGTCAAGCCATGCATAATGATAGTATACCAGGCTCTCTCCCACAGTCAAGCCATGCATAATGATAGTACACAAGGCTCTCTCCCACAGTCAAGTCATGCATAATGATAGTACACAAGACTCTCTCCCACAGTCAAACCATGCATAATGATAGTACACAAAGCTTTCTCCCACAGTCAAACCATGCATAATGATAGTACACAAAGCTCTCTCCCACAGTCAAACCATGCATAATGATAGTATACAAAGTTCTCTCCCACAGTCATTATACAATTTGTATCTTGAAGTTGCTCTAATTCCTGAGCCTTGTTGCATGGAACCTTGCCCTAGTTAAAACAATGCCTAGTGACAGTATCACAAGCATTATAACATAGAAACTCAAGTCCAAACTTTGCCTCTGGGGAATTATTGTTATATTTTGGGGGAAGAATTAAACCTGTAAGGGCCATAAAGTGCCCAGGGAATGGGAGAGAATCAGTTTTGATCCAAAGACAGAAAGGACAGCTACAATTTCTTGAACCTTTCAATGTGATACACCAATCACAAGAGGCATTATCCAGTTAATGCATAAAAAAAAACAATATCCCAATTTTCTAAATGAAATTAGCCAAATCTTCCTTTCATCAAAATGCACCAGCAAGAAAATTTTGAAACAATCAGCAACAGCAGTCTCAAATTATCGCACAGAAATCAATCACCTGATACTTCTACTGCATGTTAAAGGTTATTGCATGCCAAATCCACCCTATTATTGTTAGTAAAATTGGCACACTGTCACCTATACAGTCCAATAATAGTTCAAACATTTGTCTTATTACAATCACTAGTCCTCTAAGGCTGAGGTTGATCAGAAAAGACATTCTCAAGTTTTTGCACAGAAGCCATTCTTATTTTCAAGCACAATCACAGAACCTTCGTATAAGTAAAATATAAAAATGATGAGAGTATAAAGTTGATCACAAGTTAACACACATATCTTGAAGAAATTAAAAAAAAAATTCTAAGAACTAAAATAGATATTCCAATTTGGGAATATATAATAAAAATTTTATATGGCCACCATATGTACGAAACTTCCTTAGAAATAAAAAACTAATAGACTTACATGATATAGTATGAGAGGACATTATCCACAGACACAGAAACAAGAGTAACTGACTATGTATTCTGAACTATACAGTCTATCACTTTTGTTTCTGATTCAACATAGGTACTGCCCTGTCATTAACAAGTGTCAGGGCCAGGTTAAAGCATGGGCTTCAGGGGCTGCAGCCCAGGAACCTTCACCAGCTGGAGGGCCTCCAGAGATTAAGTGAAAAGTGTTCACAGTTACTGCTATAAGTTTATTATTATAGTATGTTATACATCATGTATATGATGAACTCTTGACTTGTAAAAATAAATTTAATATTTCTCTTTCTTTTTGAAAATATCACTGGGGGCTTCACAGTACCTGTAGCCAAGGGGCCAAAAGAATTTTAATCCAGCTCTGACAAGTGTTCAATACACTTTGACCCATTGTGGTATAGTATATATATATATATTTTAAAGTCCATCTCTACATACCCTGCTTGATTCCTTTATCTCCAGCTTTCTCCAGTTACGATATACCAACACTGGATCAGTGGGATAGGTATGAACTAGAGTTTTCCATTTCAGTGGTTGTGATTCTTCCATTTTGATTTTTTCAATAGAACTTGTGATATTGATGAAAGATTGTATTGAGTCTGCAATTAAACAATATTATTTTAATAATTACTTTATTCACTAAAAGCCTATTTTCTTAATATTAGGAATTATATTATTCACTATAAGCCAGTGAGATAAAAGTAAATGGGATAAGCCTAAGCACATAAATTTGTCCAAACATCTGAGTAAGTGTAGACATATCCTTCACAAAGAATGTTTTGAAGACTGAAAAACTACTCTTTTGTTTAAAATTTGATAAACAACTACAGTGGACCCCCGCATACCGTACGCATCGCATACCGTACAATCCGCATACCGGACGCTTTGATCGCTAAAATTTTGCCTCGCATACCGCCCAAAAACCCGCTCACCGCCCTTCGTCCGAGACGCGTCCAATGTGCGGCCTGAGCCAACCTCATATGTTCCGCCGGTGGCATTGTTTACCAGCCAGCCTCCGCGGTAACATCCAAGCATACAATCGGAATATTTCGTATTATTACAGTGTTTTCGGTGCTTTATCTGGAAAATAAGTGACCATGGGCCCCAAGAAAGCTTCTAGTTCCAACCCTACAGCAATAAGAGTGAAAATTTCCCAATAGAGATGAAGAAAGAGATCATTGATAAGTATGAAAGTGGAGTGCGTTGTCGCCGACCTGGTCAGGTTGTACAAGAAACCCAAATCAACCATCTCTACTATTATGGGCAACAGAAAGGCAATCAAGGAAGCTGTTCTTGCCAAAGGTTTAAAATGTGTTTTCGAAACAGAGATCGCAAGTGATGGAAGATGTTGAGAGACTCTTATTGGTATGGATAAATGAAAAACAGCTAGCAGGAGATTTGCATCTCTCAAGCGATCATAAGCGAAAAGGCTAGGAAGTTGCATGAGGATTTAATTAAAAAATGCCTGCAAAATAGTGATGATGTGAGTGAATTTAAGGCCAGCAAAGGTTGGTTTGAGAGATTAAGAAGCGTAGTGGCATACATAGTGTGATAAGGCATGGTGAGGCTGCCCGTTTGGACCACAAAGCAGCTGAAAAATATGTGCAGGAATTCAAGGAGTACATAGAAACTGAAGGACTGAAACCTGAACAAGTGTTTAATTGTGATGAAACAGGCCTGTTTTGGAAGAAAATGCCAAGCAGGACCTACATTACTGAGGAGGAAAAGGCACTCCCAGGACATAAGCCTATGAAAGACAGGCTTACTTTGTTGATGTGTTCCAATGCTACTGGTGATTGCAAAGTGAAGCCTTTATTAGTGTATCACTCTGAAACTCCCAGACCGTTCAGGCAAAAGAATGTCCTCAAGGAGAATTTGTGTGTGCTGTGGAGGGCAAACAGTAAGGCATGGGTCACTAGGGACTTTTTCTATGACTGGTTACACCATGCATTTGCCCCAATGTGAAAGATTACCTAACTGAAAAGAAATTAGAACTTAAGTGCCTCCTGGTGTTAGACAATGCCCCTGGTCATCCTACAGACGTGGCAGAGCGACTTTATGGGGACATGAAATTCATTAAGGTGAAGTTTTTGCCTCCTAATACCACTCCTCTCCTGCAGCCCATGGACCAGCAGGTTATTGCAAACTTCAAAAAACTGTACACAAAAGCTCTGTTTGAAAGATGCTTTGTAGTGACCTCAGAAACTCAACTGACTCTAAGAGAGTTTTGGAGAGATCACTTTAATATCCTCAATTATGTAAACCTTATAGGTAAGGCTTGGGAGGGAGTGACTAAGAAGACCTTGAACTCTGCTTGGAAGAAACTGTGGCCAGAATGTGTAGACAAAAGGGATTTTGAAGGGTTTGAGGCTAACCCTGAGAGGATTATGCCAGTTGAGGAATCCATTGTGGCATTGGGAAAGTCCTTAGGGTTGGAGGTTAGTGGGGATGATGTGGAAGAGTTGGTGGAGGAGGACAATGAAGAACTAACCATTGATGAGCTGATAGATCAACTTCAACAGCAAGAGGCCAGACCTGAGGAAACTGGTTCAGAGGAGGGGAGAGATGGAAATGGAAGAAGTTGCCTACTACAAAGATTAAGGAAATCTGTGCAAAGTGGCTTGAAGTGCAAACCTTCATGGATGAAAATCACCCTCACACAGCTATTGCAAGCCGTGTTGGCAACCTGTACACTGACAATGTTGTGAAACACTTTAGGGAAGTCATAAAGGAACGAGAGGTACAGGCCACTATGGACAGATATGTTGTGCGACAGAAGTCCAGTGACTCTGAAGCTGGTCCTAGTGGCATTAAAAGAAGAAGGGAAGTAACCCCAGAAAAGGACTCGACACTTCAAGTCTTAATGGAAGGGGATTCCCCTTCTAAACACTAACACTCTCTCTCCCCTCCTCCCATCCCATCAATCATCACCAGATCTTCAATAAAAGTAAGTGTCATGTAATTGTGCATGCCTTTTTCAGTTTGTGTGTATTAAAATTAACATTTCATGTGGTAAAAAAAAATTTTTTCATACTTTTGGGTGTCTTGCACGGATTAATTTGATTTTCATTATTTCTTATGGGGAAAATTCATTCGCATACCGAACATTTCGCATAACAACCAGCCCTCATGCACGGATTAACCCTTTCAGGGTCCGTCCCGTAGATCTACGGCTTTACGTTCAGGGTCCAAACCGTAGATCTACGCCATGAGCTCAGCTCACTCTGATAAACTGTGAGTGGTACATTTGGGCCTAGATATGAGAGAATACATCTATGTGGTATGTGTGCACCACATAAAACAGATCCTGCAGCACACTGTGTATAATGAGAGAAAAAAAATGAAATCATGATTTTTCGATTAAAACAGCAACTTCGCAGTGTTTTTTCGTATGTTTTTTATAGTTGTATTTGCAATTTCTTGGTCTCATTTGATAGAATGGAAGACATATTACAGAAATAGAGATGATTTTGATTGGTTTTAGCACTGGAAATGGCTTGAAACTGAGCTCAAAGTAGCAGAAATGTTAAATTTTTGCCGATATTCAAGAGTAAACAAACGACCTCACACGTCTAATACATGTCAGCTGGTGGGTCTAATATACATTCACAAGTATGGTGATGATATTTATACAATTATTACAGTATTGCATAACAGTAAATCTTCTATTTTTTGGTGTGAATAAAAATTCATTATGTGAATAAAAAATAAAAATGGAATTTATTTGTAAAGCCTCAAAACATAACTAATGAACAGAGGAAATGTTAGTTTAGTGCCAGGAATGCCTACATTGTTCATTCTGGACCCTATTTTGAAATTGGAATATTTTGAACTTTGTGTTAAATTGGCCAAATTAACAATTTCCGATCACTTTATTTTGTAGTTGAAACAGTTGACTTGGCGATTTCTTGTGCTCAATCGATAGAATAGAAGTAATACTAGTGAAATAGCTAAGAATTTGGTTGATTGGAATAATGTAATTGGCCTAAAATGGGAGTCAAAGTCGGCAAAATCGCCGATTCGTAAATATCGCTGACACATCAAAATTCGCGAGAGCATAATTTCGTCAATTTTCCACCAAATTTCGCACTTTTTGTTTTATTACCTTCACAAAATGATTCTCTACGATTTCATAAGAAAAAATAAAAATTTTTTTTTTTTTAAATTCTTGGACACTGGTGCGTGACTCCAGATTTGGGCCTTGGACCCTGAAAGGGTTAAGGTCGCTATGCGGGGGTCCACTGTATATGAATAATAACAGTCCAGAGTTACCTCCTATCTACCAGTTCTGGGAACTTTTCTTGCCAATTTACCTCAGAATGCCTCCTGCCTATCATTTCAAGACATTTTTTTTCTTTGTTGACTAAGTTTATTTAGATACAGATACACTTTTTTTATTATTAACACATACTCTAACCTGTGCTTCACTATCCTCATAAAAACTCTTAATTGCTTTCAGTAACTTTACACCTATTCCATACACTTGCAACATCTGCCACACTGCTTTCCTATCCACCCTAACATACGCCTTTTCCAAATCCATACTGTTTACCAATATGCTTCACTGTCAACACCTGGTCTACACATCCCCCTACCCTTCCTAAAGCCTTTGTCCATCTGCAGTCCTGCTCTCTGTCTTGCTTTTAATTCTTTCAACAACAAATCTACCATATACCTTATCAGGTATACTCAATAGGCTTATTCCCCTTATTTTATTTTTTTTATTTTTTTTTTATTTCCAATTTGAGCACACATACAGAGGTACAAAAAAATACAGATAAGAGCAGCATGCCAAAGCCACTTATACTATGCATAGCATTACGGGCTGGCTTAAAATTAACTTAAGATTAACTAAGCAATGATGAAATCAGTGATAAAACATTAATGTAAACAGATTACTATAAAGCACAAGTGAGTATTACAAAGACAGGTCATATGGTTGCATTCAGTTAGGTAGTGCATTTAAAAAATAATAAAGTTAGATTGGGTTTTAGGTTTAGAATTTATGTGATATAATTGTGAGAAACATTTAAGATATACAATTTATAAGGTTCAGTTATTCAGTATTTATGTGGTTTTGGGTGAGTAAGTGATCTTTGAGAAGAGACTTGAATTTATAAACAGGTAGTGTTTCTTTTATATTTACAGGTAATGAATTCCAGATTTTAGGGCCTTTTATGTGCATTGAGTTTTTGCATAGTGTAAGATGGACACGAGGAACATCAAAGAGTGATCTGTGCCTTGTGTTATGGTCATGTGTTCTGTTGAGGTTGGCAAGGAGATGTTTGAGGGGAGGGTTAATATCAGAGTTAAGTGTTCTATGTATGTAATAGGTGCAGTAATAAGTATGGATGTTTTGTATGGTGAGTAGGTTTAGTGTATTGAATATTGGTGGAGTGTGCTGCCTGTAGTGAGAATTTGTTATCATTCTAACTGCAGCCTTTTGTTGGGTAATTAGTGGTCTGAGATGGTTAATTGTTGTTGAGCCCCATGCACAAATTCCATAGGTGAGATAGGGGTAAATAAGAGAGTGATATAGGGCCAGGAGGGCTGACTGTGGAACATAGTACCGTATCTTCGATAGTATGCCTACAGTCTT